ATGACTTATCAGCACACCTATATTGTCGGCAAGAGTCCCTCGACGGCGCTGCCTGATGTCATCAGCGTCTACAACTCTAGAAGGGCCAGAAAGCCCTACCGGGTGATGGCCACTTTAGACGTTAAGGGCGCTTTTGACAACTGCAATTGGAGTCTGACATGGTCCAAAGCTAGAAAGTGTATGCCAGAGCCGTTGGTCGAATTATTGACAAGCTACTTACAAGGGAGAGCAGCTAACCTATGTGTGGACGGAAGGACAGTCAGGAGGAAATTGATCCACGGCTTCCAACAAGGATCTGCACTGGGACCTAGACTTTGGAACTTGAGCTGTTCGTCGATCATAGAAGAGATCAACCAGACACTACCGGCCGGCTGTCGCTGTGCGGCCTCCGCAGATGACATAATTCTCATTATAACAGCAGCATCGGAGAGGGTACTTCAGAAGTACTACTTCTGGCCTTCATGAAGAGGGCAATCAACCGTATCAAGGAATGGGCAGGACATAACAACATGGTGATAGAAGAGGAGAAGATAAATATCCTGGCTGATGCGTCATCCTTCTCAAGGGACGTAGAGGAGGAATTGAGACAACTAGGAAGGGTGGCGAGTGGCGCTAAGATACTGGGCATTCAAGTAGGAGAGCCGTAGGAGAAGACCGGCTATTGGCAGACACCACAGTAATATCACAACCTAGCCTCCATGGCAAGGATTATATACGGGTGTATTAGATGAACTCCGAATAGGCTGATGGGCAATGTTCTACGTTATGTCTTGAAGTGGCTGGTTGCCTCTCACGTTGAAGGTATAGTAGATGAAGTGATTCAGAGTGTTTACGTCGAGCTCGATTTGGCTCTAGATGTCACTAAAGGGAGATGCTTGACTAACCTAGGAGATGCACCCAAAGAGTGGAGACATATCAATATCCATGGGTGTCCTTCAGAGTACTGCTTAATGTACTGGAGAATGAATAATATGTTATGAGGCCCAACAACGGGTCCGACATAGTGTGACGACTCGTCATTGACGAGGAAGACGGCACTCCGATTGATTGTGCCCTTAGATGTCCCAAGAACACTTGGCCTTCATGGATTAATCCACAAGGCATCCTTGGTCAATTGAATTGACCAAGGATGCCTTGTGAATTGAAATTGTAAATAGAAACACTGAATTGACTCAATTCAGTGTTTCTATTTACAATTTCTACTCACTTACTTATGCCTACACAACCTGCTGCAGTAATTAGTCAAATTCTATGAACAATTGTACTGGAGTTCACACAAAGATGGTTCATCGCTATAGACTATAGTAATACAAAGTTGCCAAAAATGAACACTTTCTTGTCGGGTATCGCACGAGAGAGAGAGGATAGCGCTGTTCTTAAAAATCTGATAAAGGAAATCTCAGCTTCAACAGAGTCTAAGAAAAGGAAGATCCTAGCATCTGCAGACCTTCTTGAGACTCTGATTAGCCCGAACTGCACACATAGGACGGAGCTAGTGAGGGAACTTCACCAGAGTTTCTCCACTCAGTGAGTGGCACTCACCTTACCCAGGTTAAGTCTCACTCAGGAAAGACTTGTAGTACAGGCTACTGGGTTCTGAAAGAAACGTACGGTCGAGCATCCAGAAACCAGCCGAGGGCTGGAGGCTCCAGCCTCGGCCTGGCTCCAGCCTGGAGCTGCTCCCGATACGAAATGGCCAGGGCAAAACAGCACCCATCTCCTCTAAACAGAACTGGTGGAAACACGCTTCGGGTCCTGCGATCCGCGCGAGGAACGCCAACTCCTCACCCCAGCCCAGAAGCAAGAGACCGTCAACGGAAAATTGGGGTTCAAGTGTTGGAAAACTGTAGTCCGTGAACGGAAAGCCAAAATAGAGGCCCGGGAGTTGGCCCGTATCACCCAGAGAAGTCCCCACGCCCAGGGAAACGACTGTCTTGCGGATGCCTGCACAGCTAAGTCAGGGTAACGCAAGGCAATTCAAGCTTATGAAGATTGGTCATAACGTCGGCAGATGTCCGAGTCCCGACTCTCGCAAGGAGAGTCTTCTTACAAATATAGTTGCACGATGGCTTGATCTTCAGCTCATGCAATTTCGCCTCTTGATAGCAATTCCCACTTACGATACCAAATCCTAATTTATTGAGCGTCGTTGTGCTGTCAATAAATTGGTAGTGCAGCGCCGCTGGTGGTCTCAGCCCGGTTT